TCTTATACACATCTAGATGTGTATAAGAGACAGGGGGGGGGGTTGAAAAAATATTGAAAAAGTTGCCCTCAACCAATACACAGAGGGACAACAAAGGTCCGACAAAAAACAAAACGAAAAAAAAAACAAAAAAAAAACAAAACAAAAAAAAAACAACGTGTCAGACAAGCACAACAGACTCAAAACAGAGTGTGTGTTGGCCAGACAAGCACAATAGATAGTGCATTGTCCGATGAGTGCCAGTGTCCTGACATGTTTCCTGTCCTGCATTTGGCACCTGCACAATGGCTACCCAGCTGCCAAACACTGGCTATCTACAATGACAATGGATTCATCATTCGTTCTTTTTCTTTTCCTTGTTCTTTTTCTTTCTCTTTTTCTTTTTTTCATTGTAATCATCAGTGCAGTGAAAGATATTCAGAAACGCAAAAAAAAAATGAACAGGAGTAAACAAATAGAAAGTGGAGAAACAAAAGAATTATCCACTATGTACTTTGGTCAAGACAAGACGAGACATGGCAACAAAAGCAACAAGAAAAAGATCTCCCCCTTCCTCCCCCCCCCAACCCCCACTTTTTCCTCTGTGATTTCCAAGAAGAGCAAATCCATGTATAGATAAAGATATCTGAGGGAGCGATGATATATGATGACTGAAACGCTGCACACTACCTTCTTCCCCCGAATACAACGCACGGTCATTATAGCTGTATTTGGAGCATCTTTCAGTCTAAATACAGCTATAATGACCGTGTGTTGTATTCAGGGGAAGAAGGTAACCTTTTGTCAACGTGTCTGACTGCAATTCCAGCTTACTCTGGATGTATCTTACCGCAATTATGTGCACAGCTGAGTCCAAAATGTCCGAAAGTGAGTACGGGGCCTCGCTCCACTACTCTCTATTCTATTCTATTCTATGTTGAGCCTCCGCTCCACTCGCTCTTGATTCTTCACTCTCAGAAAGACACGAAGAAGCGTTGTCAGATAGATTCCATCGAGACGAATCTCGATTTTCAGAGAGCTCGAGAGGACTCTCGATCTTCAGAGAGCCCGAGACGACTCTCGACTTCTCACAGAGCCCTCAGCCTGCACAGTCTCCAAAATCGAGGGCCCTCTTCGCTAGCCTCGATTTTCGAGAATCGTCCACACACGTTGGTGGAGCAAGGCCATGAAAATTCTCATCTTCCAGAGACTGACGACTCTCTCGATCCACTCTCAGCTTTACAATCGAATAGAGAGATTGAATAGATAGTCACTGTGGTGGCATAAGAGGCCCCTTTGCCCTAAGAATATTCGAAAATGAAGGTCAAAGAGGCTCACCACACAGGCTGTCGAAAACCAGGTGTTTGACAATTTTGCATCGCCACACAGACTTTCGAAGAATTGCGGCTCCAAAAAAATTCAATAGGTGTCAGAATGGTACGCCCGACAGCCACTCTCCCCCATTCGTTTCCTCCCGCCTGCCTGCAGAAGACGGAAATTCCAAAGTGCCCCACCCACCTGCCTTTCGAGAATTGCTTTCAAATTTGCATTGTCAGGGACTGTTCCGTGACTGCCGTGCCCGTGCCTGTGGAAAGGCGGAGTATATTTGGCCATGACCAAAAACCTTGCCTCTCGACAGCCTGTGGCGAAGCGGGGGGTAAACTGTCGACCGCCGACTTTTGATTTTTTTCTGACAGCTGTCGAAACTCAAACAGCCTGTGTGGCGAGCCTCAAAGACGTGGTCACTCGGGACATCATTGCAGCTAAAATTGACGACTCTCGATCTCTGCTACAGAGTTCAGGCAGCAAACTGCAGATGGTCGTTCGGGGCATCATTGCAGCTAAAAGTGGAACGACAGTGCAAAACAGAATACACAACGACCAAAAAAAAAAAAAAAAAAAAAAAAAAAAAAAAAAAAAAAAAAAAAAAACCAACGAAAAAAGAAAAGAAACAAAAAAAACTGTCAACACTTTATCCTCTGTTTCCTCGAAGCGTAGAGGTAATAACCCGGCGAGGCCCAGAGGGCATGCACACACTATCCCTTCGTCTTGGACTGAATCGGCCAGTACTTGCAGTCAGATGAGGGGCCTCGCTGCACTACTCTAGACTCTCGAATTTTCGAGAGTGGGACGTCGCTGCACTTGCTCTCGATCGGAAAACTCTCAGAACCCGATGGAGAGCTGTCAGCGGGCACTCTATATCGCCACTCTCGAAACATCGAGAGTAGCCCGCCTGCAAAACAGGAATTCACAAGTGTCCTCGGGAGTTGCCCGCTGACGGGCTCGTTTTTCGAGAGTGGACCTCCTGTCCTGGCGGCCAGACTTTGTCCCCTAGCGCAGTGGTGCAGCTCTTCTGTCGAGTGGGACGACGCGCAGGGTTTGGAGAGTTCATCTAGTGTGACAGTTTATAGAGTAAGTGCAGTGAAGGCAGCTATTTCGAGAGTCTCGCCTCTCTGACAATGCTAGACAAACTCTCGAAATATTTCGAGAGATAATTTGCAAAATACCCCCAGAAGTTGAGATATATGTCAAAATGCCCCTAAAAGATGTGGGTAGAGCGGAATGCCCCTCTGACAAAAAAATATTTTGTGAAATACCCCTGGGGTCGGTTGGACCCCCATCTTTGCAATATACCCCTACTGGGTACCGTCCAACTTTGCAAAATGCCCCAGTACTTGCCAACTTCTCCTAGGTGCTATTGCCAAAGGCCAGGGCCCAAACGTGAAGGTCCAGATTGCAAAGTTACATACCCACCTGACAGGGGCACAACACTAACATTTCGGCCCAAAAGGGTATTCCGGTCTACCCACATCTTTCAGGGGCATTTTCGCATTTATCTCAACTTATGAGGGTATTTTGCGAACTATCCCTTCTTCTTCTTCTTCTTCTTCTTCTTATTATTATTATTATTATTATTATTATATCTTAAATAATAACAATCGCGACCATGCTAATTGATCTTTCATCTAGGGAAGAGCATCTCCAAGCTTAATCGAAGGGTTATCTAACACGTGTATGGCTGCAAATCAAAGGGGTATCTGACACGTGTATGACTGCAAAGAAAAGGTAACTGACACGTGTATGGCTACAAAGAATACGGGCATTTATATCAAGTGAGAGAGTACCTGCACTCGCCCCGTGCCTCGTGGTCCCTGACCACACAGCCACTCAGCACCTTCCAGGTGAAACATTGGCAAGAGAGAGCAGCTATGTTTTTGACAGGGAGAGAGTCAAACGGTCGAGCAGTCCACTTCATAAGGGTAACCAGTAGGTGTATAAGGAATAGAAAGACTCGTGATTATATCACCATAAATCGGCTAATGGAACGCGGTGTTGCTTCTACATCAGATTGACAGTTCACCAACTTCACCAACTTGCCGGCCAGCTACATCCCAGCCTCGTTCCCGCACAGCAGTGCACGCCAAAATCAGGGAGCACTGGGCAAACAGAAAGATTTCATCAATTCAAGTCAGGGAGGAGGAATTAGGACCAAGGGTGGCAAGGGAGGGAGAGCAGCGCAGTGTTAGCAGGTCGACCGTGGAGAAGCTGGGGCAAGGAAGCGAAGGGGGGTAGTGTTCACAGCCCTAGGTGGAGAGAATTGCAGCAAGCAAGGAAGAGGGGGCTAGTGATAGCAGGATGTGGAGGGCTTACTTCAACCATTCCTTTTTTCCCCCTTTTTCTGGGTTTTTTTTTTTTTTTTTTTTTTTTTTTTTTTTTTTTTTTTTTTTNGGGGGGGGGGAAGGGCGAGAGACACTTCAACAGTTGTCTTTGTTAAGGAGGCGGCGTTGAGTGAATTTTATGTAAAAGACTTGCCGGTGGAAGAGGAACTGGACTGAAGCTCCCCAGAATAGAAGGAGCCCGGCCCCCAGACGGCCTCTCTTACAAAAAAAAAAAAAAAAACACTTACCTTCTTAGTTTGCATCAAAATCCCGTTGCATGAACAAATTCCTGCCTCCTGAAGCTTCTTGAGGTCTCCAGCATTCACGCCCAAGGCAATCACTGCCACATCAAGATGCACATCACAACCCGAAGAGATCAGCAATCAATGACCGATTTCATGGGGGAGAACTTTCTTCGTTTTATGGGTGGCCGGCTTTTGATGGAGTCTGAAACCTAATACAGTCTGTAGCATCTTCCGTCTGGTGGGGGGGAGGGGGGGTGATAAGAGTGCTTTGATTTTCACCACAGGTTCCCTTGAGGGAATTGGTTGGTGCACACCTCAGGGCATCAGTTGTGGAGCAGTCATCAATGCTTTACCCTGGTTACCGCAACCAGGGCAAACTTTAAGGTGGATTACCACTTACAGTATCGCTGGCCAGGGGACTCTGCAGACTGCGGCCCTCTGCGGAGGGTTCAGCAGCCTCCTGATGAGTCCATGAAACGGCACCTACCAGTGTCTCACAGCCCCTTGTTTGTTGTTGTCCTCGTCTCTCTCTCTCTCCCTTCTGGCGGTTCACCACGCAGTTATCTGTGACTACATAAAAGGAATGAGGGGTTGTGACAGACTGTTCCGTCGGAGTTTCACCAGCTCATCAGGAGGCTGAAAAGGACATGGAAAGGGCATTGACCAATCCTCACTCTGGGTTGGAGGACGACTAACGAGTATGCAGTGTTATGTATATAAGAATATAAGAAACAACGGCGGAAATGGCGCCGATGATGATGGCGGGTTTTGAGTTTGAGTAGGCAAAAAAAAAACACTAAATGGCAATGAGCTCATGGCACGAGTTTGAAATGGCGATTTCAGTCAAATAAAAAAAGAAATAACGGCAGACGCGGCATGTTCTGAAACCCTGAAGGCAAAAAGAACTCGCGCCGGCAAACAAACCACGCAGCAACTCGAAATGAGCAATTTCGGTCCAAAAGTATCCGTTGGACTTTTTTTTTTTTTTTTGGTTTCCCCCTTTGACACCACGGCCAACCCCTGTAAATATGACACCCGATGTGACACCACAGCCATCAGTACTTCCGAGTCTTCCGTTGCCTTTTCGAACTCGGCGCGGGTTTCTTTGCTGACGCATGTTTTTTTTGCCCATTCGATACTCAAAGGTGACACGAACATACTTACCCCCCCCCAAAAAAAAAATGTTCTTTCCTTTCCCATCTGGCACCACGGCCTGCCCCTGTAGTTATGAAATCTGTGCATCTGTCATTGCCGCAGTGCTTTCATTGGCTTTCCGAACTCTGTGGCTGTTCGTTTTGCCAGCACAGTGTCTTTTCGCCTATTCGGAACACGTTTGTGCAGTGTGACCGCCGTTGCCCCTATATATGAAAGAACATCACCCCAGCAGGAAAGGTCTTTAACCACCAGAACATTTCCCAGCCATCTTTTCGGAGACGCAGCGTGCATGCCACCCTATTAGGGGGGAACATACCGGGGCACCGTTTCGCTGGACAGCCATCCAGACCACACACGTTGCATAGAATGCCCGTTTTGCCTGGATGGATATCCAGCGAAACGCCGCCCCGGCAGTATGCATGCCGCGTCTCTGAAAAAATGGCTGGGAGATGTACTGGTGGTTTAAATTCAGGCCCAGTGGCTCAGTGATCATTAGCCCCATTTCCCCCCCAAGATTACAGATCTGCATGGTGGCATGCAACTGGCTCAGGGAAGGCTCACATGAGGACTCTGCTGGACGTATCTGCTCATTTTTGCAAGGCCTGGATGCACCTGACCGCAATTATGTCCACAAACAATTTTGAAAACGTCCAGCGGGTAGTGCGAGTATGCCCTCGGACTTGAACTTACCCTTCTGCGACTGCAGAGGGTGCTCACCCCCCGATCACGGCTCCACTTTCCTGGATTCTTCGCTTCTGGGCATATAGGTTAAAGAACTTAACGGCCGGGTGGCCAGGTAAGTGGGGCCTCACCCCCGCTTGCCAGCTGTGCTGATCCCCAGGAACAGAACACAGCCATTACAGGGAAGGGAAAGAAAAAAAAGAAAGAAAGAAAGAAAGAGAGAAGAGAGAGAAAAAGATACCCGGCCCATGTGGCTGAATGGTAGACACATGTAATGTGGCAAACAGGTCATGCATTCGAAGTCTGACGGAATCAGTGCATAGTACTGCATACGCACACTAACACATTCTTGGCCCAAATACATTGCAAAGTATTCACATACGGACCCACCTGTACAAATTTGTGCCTCAAATGGGGTCACAAATGACAGTGGCCATCGGAGCTGCGTGATGCTGCCATTTTGCAAACACCTCCTAAGGTATTTCGCAAAGCCCCTTTCTTTCTTCGATTTGTTGGTGGAAGATTGGAACCATGTCCTGTCACTCGTTTCCACTCTGCACCCAATAGCAGTGACCAAGACCTGCACGATTTCTAAAAAAGGAATGGGTTTGCGTGTTGCCCTGTGTGGCCAATACAAGGAGGTGAATGTATATATAGATAGCTTCTCCACATGCTGATGCAGATCATGCACCTGGCCGTTATATGTCAAAAATTAGCCCACCCTTTAAGACCACTCCTTGGTTTCCTTCGTATTCAGAATCCTTCTTTCAATTAAAAAAAAACGCCAACCGCCTACCATGAGCAGCTGTGGGTGTTGAGGTCCAAAATTGGAAATTCATTCATTTTTTTTTTTTTTTTTTTTTTTTTTTTTTTTATTTATCCATTTGTCCATCCAAGTGCATTCGACAGTGTGGTCCCTGGGGTCAAGTCCACTTACCTGGATTCTCATTTTCTGACCGTAGATCACAAAGATCAACAGTCAGAAATGAAAAATCATCGTAAGTGGGACTTGGCCCCTGGTTCCCCAGCCCGGATCAATTTTATTTTCCGTCCTTTATCCTGCGATTTTCTATCCCAGTACTGTTTCCTCCTGGCTGCTCAGACATTCACATACAGTCTAACAAATCTAGTTGGGTCATTCAGAAACCTGCTGGGGCTGGGAGTGCGCCACCAACGGCGCCAGTAGAGCGCTCGTGGTCCAGCGCCGCCGGTTGTGTCGCTTCTGTAGCGGGCATCGGCCCGCCGAGCGGTTTTCGCATTACCGTAACGCGAATTACTGTGGTGAAGGCAACAACCATGGTCCCGGCCATGGCGGCGTGAATCTTTCACCCACGGCCGTCCCCTCTCACCTGGACGGAGTATCTCCACCCACCTCGGCGAAGCTGTGCAAGTGACTAGCGGCAGATCCCTAAGCGGGACATCGACTTTGGCAAGTAAGGGTTGCTGGCATCAAGACTACCAGGAAGAAGAGAGATGCGCCAGCGGTAACTTTTCTCACCTGATCCAATGACAATTATTGCTCTGGTTCTCCTCCTTTCGTCTAGATTCTGGGCCACAACTCAGCTAGGGTTAGAGATGCTATCGCCCGGTCTTGTTAAGTAGTTAATTGTGAGAAAGGTTGCTGCCTATTTTGATTTCGCTGCTGCTAGAATAGGGTTGCCATTTTAACCTTCTGATGGTCTCTCCAGTAGGATTAAGCAGACAGATGAATGATAATGTGGTTTTCGTCGACAGTAGCTCAGGAAAGAGGGAGATAGCACGGGACTTTAGATTCCTGTCCTTCTCCATGGGTAGCTTGGGCCGCTGGAGGCTGCACAGGTGTTAGTCCGATTCAAGCTCTCCCCTCTCGGCGAACCTCTAGTCCTTGCTGTTCAGATGAGGACAACATTCTACACACGGATATAGGCTTCCGCATACGCTCCCCGAAGCTTCGTTTCCAGAAGTGCCATTACTTTCGCGATAGGAGGTATGGTTGCTCGTCAATCGGTTGTCAGAACAATTTGCGGCGACCTTCGGGACCCCGTTCTGGCCTCCACTCACTAATCAAGGCGGGCGACCATCAGCGGGCGTATTCCTTGGGGGTCGGCTTCTCTGATATCCGGCTTTAGGCTCTACCCCGCTATCCTCTCCAGCGGCGATAGAGCTTACCACGGCCGAAGATTCTACCTGGCAGGATAGTAATGGTAAGATAGTGTCAGTACCTTTTCCACAAACCGTACCAGCTACTTCCCCATCTAAGCCGTTACTCTGCCGATTATGGCGGCACTGCAAGAGTTGGAGGTCAAAATGACCGAGGACGGCGATGATCGCTTGCAAGGGGAGCACAACGATGGATTCGAGGAAAGGGTAAGGTTGCTCCTATCCATGTGCTACGACGAGGGACACTGTCCGGAGGATATTACATTCGAGGATGTAACAGTCGAAGGAAACGAAGCCGTTGTTACAGTAGACCCTCGGCTTGATGAAAAAAATCAAAATCCAGTGGCTTAAAGAACGGACAGTTGTCATAATTTTTAGGGACGAAGCAAGGAACCTGTGATTTTGAGAGGGAAACGCTTTGTTTTTGAAATGAAACCCTGGATGCCCATGGCCGAACGGAAAGAACTTCACAAAACTGAGTTGGATAGTACTTTTTGGGTACTCGCTATCCAAGTGCTGCTAGATGCGTATTCACTGCGTCACTCTCACGCATCATTGGCCGGATGCTGAAAATGGATTCGCCGGGCACTTCGAATCCGAGACTGCTCAATGTGAAATGCATGTTGGATCCGGAATGTTGTTCTGGATTTGTAGACCGGGTATGGGTTCGCACGAAGCAAGGAGACGTGGTGGAGGTAAGGCTGGCATCATTGTCCACGCCATATTGCACTCGCTGTACATGGTACCTCCACACGGAAGACCAGTGCACAAGAAGGAAAAATAACCCAAATAGGCGGCGTAGCAATTTTAACCAGGATCATGTTTCCCAAATGGAAGAAGATGAGGATGAGACTTCATCTTCGTCCTCGAGCTCACACTCAATGGCAAGGTCGCGATCGGGCTGACCTAGCTCCTAGGTACCGAGGTCCGCTCTCCCCTGATGGATCTCGAAGTCCGGAGATCCGCATGGGTGAATCACTCCCAATCGGACCCCTCTCGCACTCCCCCGGCCCTTCCAGAGGCCTAGGAGGTGATAATCCCTCCTCGAGGATGAACCCGATCTTCTCCCCAAGGTTGGATCAGGAACTAAACACGCATACAGCGTACCTACATACGGGAACAGGGAGTCAGCCGACATCACAAGGGGCTTCCACCCCCCACCACAGCCAAAGGATGGCCCCAGCCTTGGCACATCTGCTGAGGGCAGCCTTGCCGACATCGGAAGAGCATTTCCCGTCAGGTACAGAACCCCCCGCGATAGGGCCAGCCATACCACCTTCAACCAAGGCACCCACAACAGCAGGCACTGACGGAATCTTGCAAGCCAGACAAGCCTCGGGGGAAGAGACAGCTCCCTCGACAGTTGCAGTACATGGAAGAAGTGCTAGGGGCCAATCCCCACTCAAAGCGGCCAGAGTAGTATGCATTGTATCCACAAGTACCCGTCCTCTCCTGATGAAGGGACCTCCAGGGGAAGGAGCGCCCACAAAGGAAGGCTCACAGGCATCCCTCAAAAGCCGAGCCGAGTCATCATCATTGGCACACTCTGCGACAAGGGTAAACAGCAAGAAGTAGGCGAATTCTAACTGCGCCCAAACCTCAGGCCACTCGTCTGGAGAAATGGTTATTACCCCTGATCTGTACTTTGGTGAATGGAGCCATACACGTAATTGCTTGGCAGCCGAATGACTCAAAAGTGATGTTCCTAACGCACCATACAGAAGAACCGGTCACACCACAATCCATCCTATCCACTGTTAAGGTAATCTTTCGTGATCGGTTCCCTGTTAGATTGGTGTCAGACATGGCTATGCCAAGATTTTATCAGGAGCAGACAGACAGGTCGTGTAAAATTCCTCCCCCCCTATTAGATGCCTTGATTGCACAAGACAAGCTGGACGCCCTCCTACTGGAGGGCATGAGGCTGATCCCCCTGACAATGTTTATTGAAGAGGAAGTAGATTCACTGCAACAACTTTGGGTACAGCATAAATCTGAGGCCAGCTTCCTCAGCAAACTCAATGGGAAGCTGCTCAGGAACAAGTTGTTGCAGTCCATCTTTCTCAAGAACTTGGTGGCCTAGAAATGGGCCTCTACCTCTGTCTCAAGAGCCGCGACAAGACCGGGCCCCCGCCAACATGATGCACGAGCACACACAGGTACAGCCCCTATCCAAGCCAGGGTCCCTAGCTCAGGAATGAATGGACAGAATTAGCATAGCCTTCTGGAATGTCAGGGGGCTAGGTGACGCATCCAGAAGAAGCAAACGGACGCATCTCAAGTCCTGGCTCCACTGTAACAAGATCCAAATCACATGTGTACAAGAAACGAAGTTGAACGCAAAGAAGACCAACGACTTGGGAACTTGGTGGGACGGGCCCCAACTCTGGGGCCCAGCAGTGGGCACCAGAGGAGGGGTAGGCATTCTAATTCACAGAGATCTCCCCGTTCAGATTCTGGACCATGCAACAGACTTATGGGGCAAATGGGTTTGGGTCAAATTCTCGATCCTTGGTTCTGAGTGGGCGGCGATGACTGTGTACGCCACTGTGAATAGAGAATAACTCAAAATAATAATGTAGCTGGAGTTTACATTTCACAGATCAACTACATCATAAGATCGGGCGCAACAACACTTCGCCCGTACAGCCCTTCTCCTCCATCTACTCAAGCTGCAGCGGATTCTGATGGTCCGCGGTTAAATACTTATCATGGCCTTCGCTCTCCCTCGAGTTGAGCGGAGAATAATCTAGAAAAGCAAAAAATAAAAATATAAAAATAAATTAAACCAGTTAAAAATCAGTTAAAAAGAATCGTAAAAACATGTTTCCCGAGCGCGTGATACTTGCAGTACCGTTTCGGCTGTAGCTCCTTGCTGAAGTCATCATTTTGTCTGTTATCGTCTCCATGTCCTGCCGGTTTCTCAGACGAACATTTTTCTGCGTACGCTATCACTCGAAGATCATACTGAGCATTTTGTCCCAGTTCACCACTTCGTTGCCGCCTTTTTGTATTGCAGAACCAGTACAGGCATCTCAGCCTGTCACAGGGCACTCAGGGCCATCTTTTTGCCTGAAGGAACGGGTCCGGTACAAAAAGCCACCCACGCCAGAGCCTGAACCCCACCGATTGTACTTCCCTATACGTACAATTTCTCGAACAGTGAGCCATTTCAGGCCAGACCCTCCCTCCCTACCTTTCAGCAACCTTTTTTACTGCATTGACAAACATGTAGCTCGGATAGCCCAAGATACTTAGTTCCCTGTGGAAAGTCATAAGCATTATGGGCAATAGAGCCTCCTCCAAGGTATTGTCTTTTATCCTGTATATAGTTTCGATAATAGTTGCAGTCTTCTGCTCCATATTCCCAAAGGACGAGAACTCCTTCGTTGTCTTGTACCTCGATGTTTCATGATTCCAAATTCTCTCTCCATTCTTAAACTTATGCATAGACAGTACCTCAGCTGTTTCATTCATCACCAGTATTTTGGTTTCCAAAAATTCAGCGACATTTCTATCACCGTCAGTTCTTTCCAGTATCAGGTCCTTGTGATAGCACTCGGTGATACTGTCAAGCCTGCGTCTTGCTTTCTCAATTTCTCTTGATTCATTCTTAAACCATGTTATTAGCAATAGATCATCAATAAATTGTCTTCCAAACATCAACTTCTTTTGTGTGCCGAGTGTCCCCATGAATTCATGCTCACTTCTCATGCATACCAAACATGCAAGCACAGGGCTCGCATGCCCCCCCATCAGGATTCCCGTTTTCTGCTGTAAAATCTCATTTAACGACCGGAAAAAGCAATTTCGCAGTAAAAAACGAGTTAGTTTCAGCAAGTCACAGAGGCGAACCGACTTCCATCCTCCTTCCCCATATGATTTCCCCATCCGTGCGCCTTTTCCCTTCGTTTTCACCCTTGCCCAGTGTCTTCCTTTCATCCTTTGTTCGGCCAGTATCCATTCAACGGCCTGTTCCACACTCTGGTGTGGAATCTGTGTAAACATTTCCTTGATATCATATGTTCTCATGAGCACCGCTGTGTCAGCCCCATTCATTCTTATTTGTCTATTGGCGTCCATCAGACCTTCTTTCAGTTTATTAGTTACCTTCTTGGGAGGCTTTCATCCACAAACTCAACTCAAAGTTTGTGGCTTACAGACATAGCTCATCACCATCTTGAATTTATTTTATGTTCTATGTTTATAATCAATTTACATACTTCAATCAAAAAATATACTTATTTTTACAAACAATTCTATTTCTAATACTTTCACATATCTCGGGCAGTCACTGAATGTAGCTTTCATCCCTTGAGAGTATATAACAGGAAACGTCTCTCCTGGGTTTCGGTCTACTGGAGACATCACCAACCCGTCAAATGCCAATTTAACTCCCTTCACATATTCAGTGAGAACCAAGTCCTCCCTTATGGGTGGGGCAGTTCTTGAAATCCTGGCTAGGTTCAATCTGACCCTATTTCGACAATATCCTGCTCTCCTTAGGGGCTCAGCTCCTTGCTCACAGGCAGTGAATACCTCGATTAGATCATTCATTCTCCCTAGGTATGGGACGTTCCTGGAATTATATAAGAGTTGATTCACATCGCTGATTTCACTTAGTCTAACCCGAACATACCCGTTTGTCCGGGGCAAGTCAAAATCACTACATGCGCATTTGCGATCTTCTTTCGCGTAACGCTTGTGATTATGCAGAATAGCAAGTCAAAATCACTATATGCGCATTTGCGATCTTCTTTCGCGTAGCGCTTGTGATTATGCAGAATATCTGCAACTGATTTGGCTTTTGTCCAAACCACTCTTAGCTTATTCTGCAGCAGGTCGACCAGGTCAGTCAACTGAATCTCCACTCTTAGCCATTCCAAGAATTCCTTCCTAATCTCTTTTTTGTCAAGGGAGTGGCAATAAGAAAGTTTCACTGTCAATCTCAATCTAGAATTTAGGTCAATTCTTCTCTTTAGTTCCCTCGAGATTATTCCTCTCAAAATTTGTCGCCCTTTCTTTGTGTCAATACTTTTCATCCCTTTCAGCATCTGGAACAATTCACTAACTTCCTTCCTCTTCAAATCCTTCCTTTTCCATGGTGCTCTCAATAGTGTCAATAGAACAGACTTTATTCGCTCGGCGTTTGATTTATTTTTTATCAAGCAATCAACAAACCACTCTCCTCCTTGTTCAATCAATTCTTTCGAGTCCCCCAGTAGCCGACTTGTTCCATCAATTCTGATTTTACTGTCACTATATACCGAAGCAACAATACGCCATCCGTTCCACCATTTACTGCATGCATTCTGGATTGCCAGGGGTCTGTTTGTTCCTTTAGCTGCCTTCAGGATTTTCATCAAATCAACCGTTGGGTCAGGACACACTTTTTCAGCAGAAAAAATTAGCGGTTTCCATTCAATTACTTTGTTCGAGGATTTATTCTTTCGTCTGGAGCGTCTCGATTTCTGCTTCTTCGATTTTACCATATTCAGGCCTGGGTTCTCGTTTTCAATCAACAATTTCTCCATTTGCAGTAGGTCCGATTTCGGCCCCATCCACAGAGGGATCGGGATATACGTTTCCACTCCTTTTTTCTGTATCCACTTGTGAACTTTTTTGTCAGATTTTGTCCTTATGCTCTGCTTGTGCTCCCCCCATCTCTCATGTAAGTTCCGACCCGTTTGCCCAATATATACGGATTTATAAAACGGGGAAATCAGGACATATACGCAAGAGCCTGCATTATTCATTCTATCCAAGTCGCTGGAGCACATACTAATCCAGTACTTTGAGAACGTGCGTCCCCAGTTTAAATAACCGTTCACGCAGGCAAGGATCACGGTAGTGCGGAATAGAAATTATATCTCCCTGGCTACGGATCTATCTGCTAGACCATGGTCAATACGCAATTTACTCAATCGCTTAAGGAACCGTAACACGCTCCGTTTCGAGAACTTTAATTCCCCGACACATCCCCGACTTCCTCTTCATTGTCTTCGCCGCCGTTGTTGCAGTCCTCCTCGTCTTCCTCTTCTGTGGAGCCTTCCTCCACCTCATCCTCTTCTTCTCCGGTGTTGTTCACCAACTTCACGAACTGGTCTGTGTCCTGTTTTGCTAGCTCCCACCCGCCTTTATCCTTCCGTTCACAGCGTGCATTTCTCTTCTTGCACATGGCCTTGATCTCCTTATAATTCAACGTCATATAGTAATCCAGGCGACACCTCATGTACTCAATCACTTCCTCTTGTGCCATTAGAGCCTTCTCCTTTACGGATTTTTCCTCTTGTGCCTTCGATTCCACCTCCTTACCGCGATCCTTCTTCATCTTACCGGAGGTTCCTCCTTTATTCCCACCACAGTTCTTTGTGGGACTGGATCCGCGTGCTTCGCTCTTCCCCATCAGCGCTTGGAGCATGTTCTTTATGTCGTCCAACTTCGCGCCTTCCTTCACATTCACTTGATGTTCCTGTGTCTCATCAATCAATGTGTTAACACGTTGTTTCTCCCCTGCCCTTCTCTCCTTGTCGTCATCAGAGATATTAATCCGCAGAGGTCGCACTTTAATGTCACCACCAACACTTTTTGATCGAGATTTAGATCTCGATCGCGCAGCGACTGGTGACGCAAAATCCCGCTTCCGTTTCTTGCTACTCCCACCATCCTGTTTCTCCTCTTCCACTTCCTCCATCCTCTTCTTCCCACGATCTTGAATAGCGGTGCTGGTCTTCCTGTCTACTTCTTCTAACTTGTCGGCAATCTTCTTCAATGAATCTCCAAAAGTACTTGCTATCCACGCCTTCATTCTTGTCTCGCTGTCATCGGTGTCCTTCCCCTTCCCCTTCTTGCTCCCGCCGCGCGCCGCGCTTGCACCGCTGGATTCTACACCGCTTGACCTCTTGCCTTCTTCGATCATGTCCCTAGTCTTCCATTTCTCGATAAGATCGAGATGTTCCTTCGTAAACCATGCTCGTTGTCCAGGTCCTGGAAAYGAGTTSGCACTAGGCTGCCGCTGATTATAATTCCAACTTGGTGGTGGAGACGGTTGCCATCCATACTGCGGCGGGGGATAGTATCCCGCAGGTGGGAGCTGTGGAAGCGCCACCGTATGCGGTACCATTCCCTGAGCAGGCGCAACTACTTGCATCTGTGGTGCAGGTGTTTGCGAGGTGAGGCCGCCCGGCCCGATGACTGGTGGGGTTTGCATCCCATTCGGGAGCTCCATCCAGTATCGATTGCACCCGAACCACCTTCCACGACCACGACCCCTCCCTCGGCCGTACATGCGGTATGAGCTCCCGATGATCACGTGCGCGCTTAACTCGCTCCGAAAAACTACAGCAAGGAGACGATCCCGTACTCAGATGTCTTCAGCAATGAGCCACTTCGCCTAGCGGTCTTCTGATGATGAATCAATCCACCAGGGTAGCAATCTAGCTCCCGCGCACTGCGTCATAAGCGAAGAAACCACTCACATCGATAATGAACAATACCAATACTGCACGACGAGATTCCGTGTTCTCATCGAACACAATTCTCTCGAAGGCACCGGGACGAGCGTGCCTAAGCGCAACCGCAGAGTCGTTCGCCCTCTTCAACACGAGAATAACTCAAAATAATAATGTAGCTGGAGTTTACATTGCACAGATCATCTACATCATAAGATCGGGCGCAACAACACTTCGCCCGTACAACCCTTCTCCTCCATCTGCTCAAGCTGCAGCGGATTCTGATGGTCCGCGGTTAAATACTTATCATGGCCTTCGCTCTCCCTCAGAGTTGAGCGGAGAATAATCTAGAAAAGAAAAAAATAAAAATATAAAAATAAATTAAACCAGTTAAAAATCAATTAAAAAGAATCGCAAAAACACGTTTCCCGACCACGTGATACTTGCAGTACCGTTTCGGCTGTAGCTCCTTGCTGAAGTCGTCATTTTGTCTGTTATCGTCTCCGTGTCCTACCGGTTTCTCAAACAAAGATTTTTCTGCGTACGCTATAACTCGAAGATCATACTGAGCATTTTGTCCCAGTTCACCACTTGGCTGCCGCCTTTTTGTATTTCAGAACCAGTACATGCATCTCGGCCTGTCACAAGGCACTCAGGGCCATCTTTTTGCCTGAATAGGTCGAAACGGAATATGTTTTTTCAAGATCTGATTCCGTTTACCCCGGACATAGACAACCTCCTGGTGGTAGGCGATTGGAACACATCTGTGGATGACATAGTGGGCAATTCAGTAGGCTCTCCAGATCTGCACTCCCTTTCAGACTACATGCCGGAATTAGAATTATGTGATGCCTTCAGATCCAGGTTTTATATGGGGTTCACTGGCGTCAGAAGGAAATACGGCGAACTGTTTAAGAAGGTTAGACTACGGGCTCCTCAGCGCAGCCTGGTGGGAAGCTGTGACAAATGTCGAAGTGAAGCGTCACCCCATGTCGGATCATTATCCCATTAAGTTGACCTTCCAATGAGCGGATCTCGCAGGACGAGGGAATGGCTTCTTCCGCCTCAATGTCCAGAACCTCAAGGACCCAGGCCTAATGGCCTGGGTAGAGAAGTTCTTTAGCACCTCGCCAAAGGCTCAACCACACTTGAAACTCCGTTGGGGGCTGGTGGGATGTCGGCACTGCCATTGTAGCCAACCACCTCAGCGTTTTCTCATGAATCATGGCCGCAAATCGAAACAACGAGGAAGCTGAAATTCTGAAAGATCTACAGTGGGTAGAGGAGTGAATGCAGCTGCACCCGATCTCGGCCTCAGTTTGGGCCATAGAAAGAGTGAAACTGCTGGCAAAATGGGATGAACTGCAACAGATAAAATCTGAGGAATGGGCCGAGAGGTTAACCGTGAAAGGGATTTCAATGTATGACAGGATGACTAAAGAGGCATTTCAAAGGTTGCTGCCCAAGTGGGCAGCTCAATCACTGAGACTGTTGAATCACCCTTTTATCCCGGGAGCGAGAACGGCGTCTACATCAGTAGCTATGTGCCAATATGCTGCCGCGTATTTCCAAGACATCCTCACTTCCCGCAGACCAGGGGACTCCCCAGAGACCACCCTCTCGGAAGGGTCAGACTATTGGGACAATCTTAACGTCAAACTGGGGCCGACCGGAAGGCTAGACCTTGACCTCGTCAGGGGATTCCCCCCTTGTTCGACAACCCCTTCATATGGGGGTCGGACGGCAGGTCCTTTTCGGCAGGAAGTGGCTTGAACTCCTTTGGAAAACAGTGGAGTGAGAGAGGGGTCCTGCAGGTCGCTGACCTGTGGCGCGAACTGACTGGCCAATGGATCTCAACCAAAAATTGGGAAGACTAGGGCAGGTGTAAGAAAGAGCAGCCCTACTCAGATCCGCCATACCTCCGGATTGGGCTCACCTGCTGAGTGCAGCAGGAGTCCCCCCCCTGGGGACATGGTTTATCTCACAACTTTCAGAAGAGAGATTTACTCAATGATAAACAATGCAGTGGAGATTTAGTATCGCAGCACAACTGCATCGTAAACAAAGCATGGAAAGAGAACTCATGCCCCAGACCTTCTTCCTATGCTACTCCGTCTGAGTTGCAAGGCGTCTGCTCGCGAAATAAATACTACTTTACCGCTATAACTCGGTTCCAGTCTAGTACTAGTCCGATCCCTAGTACTTACAAAAAAAACCGTTTCCCGATGCTAGGTGCACCAGAGCAGACCTAGCTTCCCGCGTTACCCAAAATTCGGCACGGATAAATCCGACAAACTTACAAACAATTAAAAACTCCGAAAAAACTTTCATAAAAGACTATTGAGACATGTGACCAGACTGAGCAAAACTGGAAATTACTTTCGATAAATGTGGATGGAACCAGATCATTTCAGCGTTGGATCAGACTCCCGGAGACGGAGTATTTAATGCCGGATAAGGATAACTCTTCCTCTCTCCCCAGCAGACCGCTGGGGAACCTGGCCCAGATCAGAGTACGAGAATCCTGTAATGAGGACGGTGAGTGGACATACAAACTGTGGGCTAATGGGGTTTCAATCCGTATGCTGCAGCTGGACCCCAAACTGTGGACTTGGCGAGGCTCCAAGTACTTCCCACAGGATGCTTGGCTAACAGACTACATCTCAGCAGGAGGCTATGAGCTCCAGCTTCCAATCAAATCACCTACCTCAGTAGCAATCAGCAGATGGGCTCAAGTTAAGCCAGAAGAAGAGGTATACATAATCCTTGCCATCAGAAGATGCTGGACACAGCTGCAGAAACTCCCATTGATCAGGGCAACGACGTTACTCTGGTTACTACCGATGATGTCCACTCCCTTGGCAGTATGGTTGGTTGGAAAAGGTCTGCCAATCAAGGCCTTATGAATCTACAGTGCGTTTATGGCTATCATGCCCTCTCTCCCGTCGAATCTGGAATTGGTGGATCACTCACTGGGACCGTATCAGCGGCCCAGTGTTCCCCTGGGACGACCACTGCATACTGTTCGGTGTCGTCCCAGAAGGGCTCTTTCTAGATAAGGGCTGGGGCTATGTGGCCCAGGCACTCGGAACGTGCCTTTCTTTGGTCATTTGGGAAGTCAGGAACAGAAATGTGTTTGACGGGCGTTTTTTGTCAAGACAAATCGATCAAGAATTCGGTGAAACTTCACATCCGCCGGAGTATCAAGTGTGACTGGAGGCGGAAAAATTCCACAGCAAGACAAAGAACCAGCAGTATGCGGTGGTTTCTGGAAACCTGGGGCCTGACGGATAAGTTGGCTAAAGTTCAGGATGGCCTGTTAGTGCTCGATGAGTGGCTGCTAAGCAGCGAATGAATACCTGGACGCTCAATTTTTCTCCTCAGTGGGAGGGCAGCAGAAAGAGGGATGTGGGGTAAGGAGTGAGCGTCTTCCTGTCGAAGGAGCATGGGCTCCGCTGGCCTGCATTAGGGCCGGATTGTAAGATCTTCACGTAGGACCCTCAAACAACCGTGCAGGTCTGAGTCTACTAAAGTTGTGTTTATTGTTGCAGTTGGTTTCAGGGGCTGGACCCTTTGTGGTGTGGCCCCACCGTGTAAGTGAAACTGGGTAATGCTCCCAACCTTCCTGAGTAGACTGAGGACCCTGGCCTCAAATTTTATTCGAAATATAAGCCTTGGGCACTGGGCCCTGATTTGGTTAAAAAAAAAAAAAAAAAAAAAAAGAAACCTGCTGGGCCAGTTCACATCTCGGTCCAGACAACGGAGAAAATAGTCATACATTAACTTTTAGTCTTTTAGAAATAAATAAATGTTGAAAGGTAGATAATCATAGCCACTCCAGAGGAATGATGCCCCCGCAGGCACCCGTCACGATGATCGGAACAGGAATCAGTATGTTCCTTCAGCAAACCCAGGGCCTCGATCCACTACTCTCAACATGAACAAAAGACAAAAATCATGGGGGTGTATCTTTCCATGTTCTAGCGAACGATTCACTCTCGTTTTGCAAGTTCCGAGAGTAGTGGAGCCAGCCCCCCAGGGATGGTCCAAACTTCAGTGATGGAGAAGTACATGCAAAACCCCCTCAGGTTTGGAAATGCTAAAAGAAGTCCCCTTACAATGTACCTGTACTTTGGGTATACCCAAGTGCATGATCTTCACTTAGATGTGCAGACGCCCAGGTGCATTCTGACCGGGCTACTTTTCTTGCTTCAGACATTGACAGGTTATTCTTGTCTTTTTTTTTGGGGGGGGGCGGGGGGGCGGGGGGGCGGTGGGGCCGGGGGGAGGGAGAAAGGAGAAAGGTGAACCCTCTTCCCAGAATAGAATGAAACCATAGCCATGAGTAGCCATGTTTAGGCAAGGGGTAAGGGGGCAAGGGGGCATCGATTCCTATGTAACAGCACTCTGCACCAACAGGTCAGACAATGACCAGATACAGCAGATTAAAAAAAAGGGGTAAGTACATTGGATGATTGGAGTCACACCCAACGTTCAGAATAGGCAACTTTAGCAGTTCCTGAAATGGAGCAAAACAGGCAACAATAAATCTGCCAAGCGCCACTGCGGGTAATGCCTGGTGCAGTTTTAGACCCCAGCTAAACTTGCACATTTCGAAATTCACACCATGACACTGGGTCCACTTTGCCTTTCTTGCCTATTTCAAACAAAAAGTGTGTCACAGCCACAGTTTCCCCTTAAAAAAAAAACACCATTACAGCAAACACTTTCGTCTTACCCCTCTCAGCATCCACATGGGGCCGTTATGCCTATATATGGCCTGAAGATCCCCTTAACATCAAATTGGGGTCAGTATGCCTATAACTAGCCTGGAATCTCCCTAACATCTGGCCTGAAAGTCCACCTCATGTCACAGTCGGGTTATTACCCCTGCATCTCGCCCAAAAATCCGCCTGGGCACAGCTCTGCAATGATGTTCCTTCACAGCTTGGCAGCTGCGCAAAGATGTGCGCCTGCCAGAACCGGTTCATGTTTCTTC